GGTAAGTAATTGAAGGTCACATTGTGACTGTTTATTAATTTGGGAGATGTTTTGGTTAATATTTGAGATGTTAGAAGTTTGGGTTAGTTTTTTAACAAGTTTGATAATATGTCCAAGTTTTTTAAGAAAGAGGTGTAGTAGGATACTATGAGGTAAATACTGGTGGTTGTAGCTTCGTTTGCGGGATATTTTGAAAGTCCCAGCATAACCACAAATCGAGGGCGCAGTCATATGATCTTCTGATCTTCCAACTCCTATCATTATATTTCATATTTTATACTCACTGTTACTAATTGATTAGTGTATGATTAATTTTTATAATTATAACAATAACAAAAATAATAACGATAACAAAAATAATAATGATAACGAAAATAAAAACTCTATTTTCTTCAAATGGAAAGCTCAAATTTAACTAAAACACAAAAATGTACAAGGTGCCAATGTTTTCGACCATATGCATAGTTTGTAATAACTGAAGATGATATTCAAACCTGTTGCCTAAATTGTCGCATTTCTACTTCTCTTGCAAAAAAAAGAAAGCATCAAGAAGTTGATTGTTCTTCAATTGAAAAAAAAAATATAATCAATCTTGTGGATGTTATAGATTTTGTCTATAACAATCTTACGGAATATGAAAATTTAAATGAAGATTTTGAAGGACATACGCATTTTCATCTTCAATTTTTTATTGACTTGGATTCGATTTATAAGGAAATTTCCGTTAAAACTACTGAGAAGGATAAAAATTTAGATATAGCCAATCTAATTATAAACACGATTGATAATGGGGATGGATACATATATATTTATCATTCAACATATAATAGTAAATTATCTAAATTTGTTACTTTTACTTATTAGTGTAATTCAAGGGATGAATTATATAAGCGTAGCAAAAAGATTGATGATACTGCAAAACAATGTAATATCAAAGCATGTATAGATCGTTATGATTGTAAAGGTCTGGTTACAATAAAGATTTATCCTGATGATTATCTTGTATCTGTCGATATTTCCCATAAGATTTTACATCCACGACCGGAAAAGTTAAATGTGACAGAAGAAATCAAAACCCATATAAATACCTGCATAAATTAAAGTGTTCCAGATATTTATCAGTCTATTAAAGATCAGCAATTAGATGAGTATGAGCTTTTAACTATAAAACAGGTATATTACTGATGGATGTTAATGTCACAAGGAGAATATCGATATGATGATGATGAACTTGCTTTCGTGAAAAAATTTCTTCAAGTGCAAAATCAAGAACTTCTTTTTTTTGAAAACCACGCCTTTGCCTTTGTAACATCATTTATAGATATATTACCATCAACTTTATTAGTAGAATTAATGGTTGACGCAACTTTTAATACAAACAAATTAAAGTATGAATTATACAGAGCTATAGTGATTATAGATGGTGCAGGATTCCCCATCTCATATTTATTTGTATCAGCTAGCAAAAATCGTAACCTTACTTATATTATTTCTACATGGTTCATAGCATTAAAAATATGACAATTAACAAATATATGTATATTTTATACTGATAAGGATCTTTCTCAAATTAACGCTGCTAGATCTGTATGGCCAAATATCAATATACAATTATGCATGTGGCATGTTAATCGTGCAGTGGAACAAAAACTATCATCATGCACAAAACTGCAAATAATACGATATAATCCGGTTGAAGCCTACCAGCAATGTAATATAATTGATATTTCATGGCAACCGGTTTTGCTTGATCAAACAAATATAAATAAAAAAAAATCAGGTTTTCAACTAGCTGATAAAGAAACTCGTGCAGAAATTAAAGATCTTATGATAAAGCATTTTAATCGACATATGCTTTTACCAAAAGAGGATAAGACTTTTGTAACAAATCCACAACAAATATGGACCAAATGTGTTAGTGAGATGTATCAATATTGTCATAATAAAAATCTTATTTTTATATGGTCTTATATGTGGTGTGAATAGTATTCTCCAAAGCAGTAGACTCTTTGAGCCAGATCATCATTTGAAGAAATTAGTACTTTATATACAACTATGGCGATTGAATCTCACTGGCGACTTTTAAAATGTGATCATCTTTACAAGTTTAATCGACCCCATTTAGATCTTTTGTGCTTTGTAATTATAAAAAAGGCAAGTACAAATGTAGTGTATATTTATATATATATATATTTAT